CTGAATTATCCATTCCTGATGACCATGGCAACGAATATTTGAGAAAGGTTTTCTGTCTTTTCAATATATTTTAATAAATTTAATTATGAAATATCCATTCTTTACTTTATTTAAGTTTCTTCTAATTAAAGTAACACCACAAAATTCGGGATTCAAGTTGAAGGATTAAAACGTACCTCTGATCTGTCAGGCAACTGCTGGTGCCAACCTCTTCGATCGTGTGCAGGTGCGCGGTGTAAGCATTTATCTATTTATTAATTGCTGGTTGGCGAGAAAAACGGCTGCCAGGAGACAGAGCTCTATGACGGCAAGGATTCAAGAGGGAAAGAAGCCTGGAGCTAGAACGGGACTAGCGTTTAACTGGAATGGGCCATGAAATGTCTGGATGTAAAAGTACATTTCCTCTCTCTTGTCAATGCACAAGTTGTGCCTCGAGGTCGTTACATTCGGAAACTATGCATTCAAAAGAACAGCTGCGACACGATGAACACGGTCGGTTTAATTAAGGTTTCGGGAACTTTCCAAATGTATATGATATTTCCTCTTTAAATATACTTTAAAAACATTTCAATTTCATTAAACGAGTGGTGAGGATTAAACTGTGGTGAGATAGTAACAAATATAGACCAATAAATTGTCTGGAATCCATTGTGACGAGCCAGAGATCAATATATTAATATGAACAGTCATAGGATATTCATTAAATATTCTGTTGATACGTTTTGTTATATGCATACAGAGGGTGTGAAGTCAATTCATACAGGTTGTCATGGCTACGAGTAAATAAGCGTGGGGATGACGAACATTCATCGTGTGGCGACAAACCGGAAAAGGAAAAGCAAAGCCCTTTGTAATATAAAGACGAAATGTGGGAGGCATGGAAAGGCGTAGAGGGTCGAGTTCGATCTCGTTTGACTGCTGACCACCGAACCGTCAACATCGAATTTGGTGTTTCCATTATATGGCATGCGCATTCCATGGCATTTGGTGTTTCCTTTATATGGCACGTGCAGTGAGTGATATTGCAGTTTCTAGTTAAGGCATAACGTCGAACGCAGGAGGGGAGAGGGCTAGATTGAAATTATAATAATTATTTTTAGAATTGTAATGGTATGAACTTGAATAATATTGATGTCAGTTCATTGTCAACTGAATTACAAAATGGACTTCTATCCGCGAACGTTAATAAAAAAGGCGTAGATTTTTAATTTCGTAAACATTTTTTCTTGAATATCAGGAAGTCGCAGCGAGGAAGCCATGCGAGGCTAAGTACAGGGAAGTTTCGTGCACGCGAAACAATTGAAAGTTATTCGATGAACCGGGAATTCATTGGAAACATTAAAACTACGGTTGACATTTTTAAGTTAGCAATTGACATCTGGTAATATCGGTTTAGCAAGGCGAAAGAACATACTACATCAACACGGCGGTCGAAGAGAGAAGACGTGGTGAACATTGCACATTCTTCATCTGTGATTCCAATGCTCTTCCGTCTTCCAATGCTCGAGAAGATTTTACGTAAGCCTCGAACCTTTTAGTTGATGGAACAGGAAGGATGATTATCAAAACAATAGTCGGATAATGAGCTCATTAACAATTGTTAATGTTTAATTTATGAATACAGATTTTGTTTGTTATTTGAAAAGATGGCTGATTGTTTGTAGTGAATTGCCATCAATCAACAAATTGTTTAAAGTATCAGAACTTCCAGGAATCGCTGATCACTACAGATTACGTGCGCCAAGGTAACATATAGTACATCTTATGTCGATATCCAAGAGCAAAAAATATTGAAAGTAATGTTAATAAAATCTTTGATTATAAAATAAGGTCGTGAGCAGAGCAATGCGAAAGGGTTACATAAATATAAATATTAAAGTTGACAGCACAGGTTTCAAATTACAAGATTCATTACAGATGGTTTTCTCAATGCGGAGCCGATTAAATTAAATATATGCAGATATTCATAAGAATTGCTACACTATTTTTTCGCAGATTAAAGAAAATACGGAATTGGTATTGAAATTGGAAAAGAAGAGTAACATGGTGTCAACAGAGAAAATACCTCGTTTAGTATTCTCAACTTTTTTTAAACAGATCTAATTAACCTCTTAACTCACAACTCATATTTTATTTGCATTAAACAATATTATTTACACACCGGAATTTGGAATCATTGCTTAAACCAGAACACAATTGTATCGGTCATTTTCCCTGTTCGAAGTTTCCTTTTTATGCAAGGTTGTACTTCAATCAAACTAAGAAGAGCTGACTCGAAGAGATGCCGAGAGCATCACAACTGGGCAGTATTTGCCACGTCAGTCCCAAGAGTCCCGGGTTCGTGATCTCGCCGTCAGCATGTAGGTTCGTGTTTATCCATTGATCTTCAAAAGACATCCTTTCGTGTCGTAATTAGCCAGTGCGCCTTGCAAACGTAATCTAAAAGACAGCAACAGAAAAAACGCTCTCAAACGAATATTAACGAGTAAAATTGCAACGGGGAATGTTCGGTATAAACGAGGTCTTCTGTGGTTTTATTTTTTCTCAGTGTGATGTACGTATCGGTTGTTTTTTTTGTTTTCGTAATGAAATACTACTACGTTTCCCCATACTACGTGCCTGCGTAGTAAAAGAAAAGTATAGTAATGCTGAAGCTGAAAGTAGCGATTTTTCTTTAGATAAACTCTGGGATCTCATACCGTAAAGAGCTGTATTCTGGGACCCAGATATATATAAAAAAAAATTCTTAATCCTGTTTGCAGTTCTAAACAATTATATTCTCAAACAGTGGCACAATGTTTGTATTTATTTTCTTCTTGAATAGAGTGAAGTTGGTGTATGAAAACGATGTAGGTCTCATTTTGGGTAAAATCTTATTTTCGAAAATAACAAAAACTTAACATTACAAAAGTACAATATTGAATACACAGGAAGTTTCTTGAATATAATAAGTTATAAAAAACTGGATCTTTAAATATTTCATATACATGGGTTTGAAAATATAGGACGTTTTCGCATATTTGGGTTTAGGTGAAGGCAATTAAAAGCAATATTTTTTCTCAAAAATGGCTCCCATTTTTTTATTGATTTTTTCTCATATAAATCAAAGTATGATATTAAAAATACCACTATTTTAATTTTCGTGGACCTTCGAACGTTTTGAAAACTACAAATGGTAAACATAACTCGTGAAAGCAAGGGGTGTTGGAGGGCCACTAGTTTCTTCAAAATTGCACCTCGTAGTCTGTCAATACAATGCACTGGTAATGATTCTCAGCAAACCAAGATACGTACCAAAGTATATGCCAAGGTGAAATGCTATGAAATACTACGTACAAAAACCATTAAAAAATGGTAAGCGTTATGAGGGGTCGATCAACAAAAAATCTTGTACCCAAAGAAGTTATTTTCGAGTCCTTCCTCCTCTACTTCATTCAATTTCGTTAGAGAATTCTGTATCCCTCAGACTTTAAAAACCCAATAGGCGTTTTATTTTTTACAATTTGATTGGACAAATTGATTGCAACTTAAATTTTTCATAATTGATCCTAGAAACTTCTTTCTTTTCCAGAATTTATTTTCTTTCTTCATTATATTTCCATTTCAAACAGTCAAATTGTTTCAGAGCTTACCATTTTGAAAATGTATTATATGATTATAATTATCATTCATGAATTGGTTATCTTGCTCTCTTACGGTTTGTCGATTATTCACCGTCGCGAGATTGGCGTTGAGTGTTGCGAGAGCCGTGGTTGCGTGTGTGATCCGTATTGGGGAAGTCCGAGGTTCCATGCCTCTCTGGACCAGCCAGTCGGTGGAGTTTCCTTAAGATCAGTAGAGTTCTTTTTTTCGCTACTGCAGGACCGGTTGCGAGCTTTGTCATGGTCATCTTCTTTCGCAATCAGAGATCCCATATGTTAATGCTGCTTAGATCTAAGACTGCACGGTATCATTCGTTTTAATTGATGGCGATTAGCATTACAGAATAAATTATTTGGACATTTGCAATCAATCTTCGGAATAACAATACTGTCAATAAGTACAATATATTATATTATAATGAATCTATGAAAATAAACGGCAAATTATACAACTTGCTTTTATATGAAACTTACATTTAATTTCTCAAACTTTGAAACAATTTCAAAATGAAGAATATTGTTCCAGTCTGTTGCAAAAGCAAGAAACAAAAGATTAAGTTTGGTGTTTCACATTTAAAATACTTTTTATTCAATTCAATGGTTAGGTGTTAACTGTGTAGCATTTGATTTGAGTGAATGTTGAGCTTATTTTCATCTTCGTCGAAATACTTTTAAATTATATCTATATCTTCGGTTCATTATTTCCTGTTAATGGGGAAACCTTTTGTAAATTGTTTGAGACGATCATTAGCAGTGAAATTAGAAAAAAAAATTCTATGTCGACTTGGAATGTAAAACGGATTTTTTTTCATTCATTGTGCTTATAACGAAATTCCAAGAAGAATATAATACTTCAGGGAATTTTGCGCTGATTACGAGGCTTGGTTGGCCTTTCCTAATTTTATGATTCCAGATCAAAAGACTAGTCATCAAATTGCACATTTCAATACCGAAATGTTCCCACTTCCAGATAAAGTCGCCCACAAATATCTGGTTTCTCCGTTATTCTAAAAAGCTTAGTAATATTTAATTAGTGTTTAGCATTAATTACGAAAGTATTAATGACAAAGTGTAGTATTTTCAGAAGAGAGAAGAATGTAATTTATAGAAAATAACTGGAAATTGAATAAATATAAGCTATTGTTTTTCTACTATTCTTGTTGAATACATTTTCAACAGAGAGTAGACATGCATCAAAACTGACGAAAGGAGATTAGTTGTCACCAAACCATTAAGTATAAAATTAGCGATTAGCGACAATGTTATCTTTACATTGACTTAAAAATCGTTTTAGAAGCTACTTATAAAAGTTGAAATTGCACGTCAAGTTAAATATGAATCACAAGTATGGTAGCTTACCCATACAAGTTGAAGTATATCTGAACTCTCCGTTAAGATATTGCTCGAATTCCGAAACATGAAACAAACCTTAAGTAATACTATTTACATTTGTAATGCAATGGCAAGATAAACAGAATATAAAAATATGCTTTACTCATTGGAGTTTACGTTGTTTATGGTTTATTCTTCATTTTTCATCGACTCTCTTTCCAAATGCTAATTGAACCTTGCACTATCAAACGCAAACAACTACAATTAAAGCAAATAATAAAACAATGAAGTAGAGAGAGAAATAGAAGCACCCACAGTTACTAGATCTTCTTCTAGGGAAGCTGGTAGTAACTTGGAGTACTGATACCCAACATCTTTAGTTGCGAACTCAGCAGATAATAATAGTAATCAATGTTACTAATTTAGAATGTGCGCAGAAATTCAAAGAAAATTACGCATCGTCCGGCCTTGTGAAAGGCGTCTGTGATAGATATTCATTGGAGATGACGGAAGTCGGGAGGAACTGAAAAACAATGACGCGTTTTGATTTTGTGTGCACAATGCAACTATTTGATTGTGTTATAGTCGGTACGTAGTGAACTCTTTGTGTTGTAATATAATATACTTTTATTACAAAATTTGTGAGGAGTTTTGTTAAAATATTTCATTTACTGCTGTTTTATACGAGAGAATATTATTTGTTGTTATTGAGCAGGATGGATAATATGTTATGAAAAACAATTTGGTGTGATTTTGTTCGGCAAGATTTTTGCTGATGCAGATAATAATAATAATAATAATAATAATAATAATAATAATAATAATAATAATAATCCGAAATACATGAAGCGAATCAACCCTACATTTTCCTCCATCTGCATCTTCACCAATACACCCCTTCCCTCCCTCCTTCTCACGCAGGGATCTGCGATAGACAGCTGGTTACACCCCTGAGATAGAGCCCTCATTTCCAACACCAACTCCCATCACTGCATTTATCAAGTAACTGGTGTCTTGTTTACTGTTGCGAGCCCCGGTGCGACAGACCTACTTGCCAGCGCCTCGCCCAATGGCTCCGTGACGTAACGCGATAGAACGACGCCTGGGAGGCGCGCGTCCGCCGAAAGAATGACTCACTTCACCGTTCACACCGACCAGCGCTTTGTCCGGGCAGCAGCAGCAGACGACGACGCTATTACGCCCAACGCAAACACGTCAAGTCGACTTCCGTTTCCATGACTTCTCCGCGAGCTGTCCAGCGAAGCGAGTTATTTGATGGCAATGGCAAGCAGCGAGCAATCACACAAGCCAGGGGTTCTCGAACTTTTTTCCTCCGCGGCTCCCTTGACGTAAACGAAATTTTCCGCGGATCCCCTGGTAACAAGTTTCAAGTTTAAGGGTTAACAAAGGCCTACAAAAGATTCAACACAAACGGGTAAGTGTTATAATATGCTATTTTATTTATTCATGTTAATTACAGATTAAAATAACGGATATAACAAATTTATTCAACTATTAATTTTATATCAACATTCTTCTAAGAAGGAATGAGAAAGATGAGCTTGCATCTTCATAAGTAATTGTTCAAATCTAGATTCAATATTTGAAATTGCGGCTGGCAATTCTTTTTTGGCGTTCAATTTCGATTGCAACCATACACAGGTTGGACACAACTCACGTGGGCACGGGAACTCTTGATTACATAGGTAGGAAGAATAAATATCCCCGACGCGCGCTAGTACTGTACGTCAATGCTAAAAGAGCTACAGAAGCCTACTGGTAAAGGATTTGCCACGTTCAATTAATCCATAATTAATTAGTAAAATACATCATATATATTACAAATAACATACTATGTTGCTACAAAATTATTGTGTGAACATAAATAACACGGGGATTTCAGTAAATCAATTATAGATATAATTTTTAATAAATCACCTTGACGCCCCTGGGAGCCGCGACGCACAGTTTGAAAACCCCTGACAAAAGCGATAACGTGGTCGGGACAACTACATTTTCCTTGTTAGCAAAAAGTGCTACTGCGAATGCTTTCCCCGAGACCATTCAACCTTGCGAATGCGTTATTTACGCCTTCGTGAGAAAGTCAAGTCAAATTGCAGGGAAACAATTCATTTACTTTCAAAGCTATGAGTTCCTGTTTCATTAGAGACTTTTTGCACAGCTTGAAGCACCTTGGTGCACACCACTTTTGAGCCTCTGCGCATGCGCCGACTCTCGAAAATGATATACGATAAGGTGCTTCGTGCTGGGCCACAAGTCTATTAATTATGCTAAAACAGCTGATTTGCAAACGTTTAAAACCGTATTTAAATATACCTTCCTATGAAATACAGAAAAACTAAACGTAAAAGTGATTGATATTAGAATGTTAATCTCAAGTACTTCCGGCTCCCATTGAAGATTGGAAAGTATTTACTAATTAAAACCTAATACTAACTAAAAACAGATCTGAAGAAAAAATACCGTTGGAATTGTAAATCATCTCCAAGTAACAGAATTTTCAATCATTGTTCACAAGGACTCACGAATTCAATTACAATTGTTTAAATGCACTTAATGGAATCAGCCCCTGTAGATACTATTGTGTGTAAATAAGGTAATGCTCTTATGAAGCAACTCATGTCTTTGTACCGTGAGTGAGGATTTTTAACCAAAATGCAGAACACAAAGAAAGTAATGTTTTCGTTCACATGTGTTCTTTCCGTTTATATATATTTATTAACAGATTGTAATGAAACAAATATTATTGATTAATTCATCACTTACTGTATCTTAAGCTGAATTACTAAATTGGACATACTCTGCATTATTCCTTCCGATTTTTAAAACTTATTAGAACTGCCAGACATTTTCACATAGTACGACAGTGGTATGCTGAGGCAATTTAAATAAATTAATACACACATTAATTTAAAAACGTAAATATTTTATTATATCACTGTAATACACTACATTATTTAATTCAGAATAGCTGATGTAGATGCCGTATTGAGTCGCGAAACGTCATGTTTTGAGTGCATTTTGATAATAATAAACTAATTATGTTTTAAATAAATGAGTGTATTGATTGCCTTTAAATGTTCTTAGGATATCACTGTCCTGCAACATATGATACAAAAGGTCTCTGGTTGGTATTCATTTAGAAGTTGATTTAGGAGATCTTTCGGTTTTTCTTTTATCTCATAAAAACGACTCAATGGGATAGAAGTGTTGCAACATTAAAGAGCCGTCCTAGACTCAGAGCAGACTTCTTTTATATAGATTTAGTAACGTAAAAAATACTGAAAATCAATTAGAAAAATCATATTTACAGCAGAGACGTTATATTAAATTTATATCTTTTAAGATTGGATGTTATCTACTTCATAATTAATTTTTAATTTCCGAACTCAAGTTAAATTGATTTGCAAAAATCACATTAAATTGTATTGCAAAAAATACATGAAATTGTATTTAAAAACCAAATTATATTTCAAATCTAAAATTAAATTGTATTTCCGATTTAAATTATCTTCATAATCTTAATCCATTCATTTCATTTTTCTACCTACTATATTTCTGTGTTTATAATAATAATAATAATAATAATAATAATAATAATAATAATAATAATAATAATAATTATTATTATTATTATTATTATTATTATAATATTCATTTACATTTTCCACATTTGTTTATTTTAATTACCCAGCCCCTCCGGTTACTCTGTGGGCTGCCGCGCCGCTTTGCACAGACGCAGTCGCGCAGCTGGCGCGAGCGAGCGCGCGCGCGCTGGCCGCCACCTGTGGGAGGCAGGAAGGCGTGGGGCCGCGGTGCAGCGCGAAGTCGCGACCCCGGCGCGTGGGGCGGGGCGGGGCGGGGCGACGCGAGGCGACGTGAGGTGTGGCGAGGCGGAGTGGGGGGCGGGGAGTGGGGCGCCGCTGAGAGAGTGAGGGCGCGCGCGCGTGCGTGCGTGCGTGCGTGCGTGCGGTTGCGGTGACTCACGTGCGGGGCGGCGAGAGCGAATGCGTGTGGCCCCGATGGAGCCCGCGGAGAAGTGTGTCGCCGCCCACACAGCCGCGGAGCGACGCAGCGCGGAATGCCAACCTGCAAACGCGTTGTGTTTGTCCACGCACTGGCGTGTTTCTTTTAACATATCGGCGTATTGATATCGAACATTCGTTTGGATGTATTCTAACATTTCGAAACAAATTGCCGGATTTAGGAAGTTGAGAATCTCGAAGAATGCGGACCTGCATGCTCGAGGTGGCTACAGCGTGTGCTGACTCAGCGCTTCGTTCTGAAGGGTCGCGGGTTCGAGTGCCGCCGGGGGCATCGTTGTTTTTTTCCTTTGTCTTTCATGTATGTGTTGTCGTGGAAGACCTTGTGAATCTGCTGAGCACAGACCGAGGAACCTGCAAGTGTGTGTCTAGTGTAACGGTCAATATGTGCCCCCATGAGGGACAAAGTGGGTACTCGGATAGTCGCGTGGATAGTCGAAAATCGGCGTCCCCTGAAGCTGGGAATCAAAAATATTCACAGATCAGTGAATCTCTTCTGATCCACCTTGTTTGGCTCAGTAAAATTCAGCATTTTAATTGATTTTGTGTTTTTTCTAATTCGTAACTTCTGGGATTAATGTTCATACAACTATTTTTCTTTTTTCATTTAAGGCGCAAAAATAGTACGACGAAACACCGATCACCAGAGGTCACGCTGATACATTTTACCATCTTGCAGAACGCAGAAACGATGCGTTTTTGCCTTTCGCGTTCCATTAAGGATACGAATTATGCGTATGCCTTATTGTATACAAAATGATACCTCTCTTGCAGTTCTACTACATTTGTGGAGAATTTCCGACTCCTGAGCCCATGTTGTCAGATGTGCGAAGTTAAATTCCAATGAGAAGCCTTTTTTTCTTTTAAAAGAATGACATAAAAATTGCAGAATAATCACACGGGTTCAGCTAGTACAACTACTACTTCATTATATCAATTACAGAGACGAATACAGGAGAGATCAAAATAAACTGCAACACTACTTACTACTCTAAAGGGTGTCATTCTCCCTCGA